ACAATTCCTCCCTCCCCGTTCTTATCCCCTTGTAGTACCCTACGTGACACCAGTCCTAATGGTGTGCCTGGAGGACGACGACACACCCTACACCATCAACGTACGCCGACGCGACTTTGCCTTTCTGCTTTATGCAACGTGCACGTTGAGACATGTGTCATTATTTTCGCGCAACTATCTTCCTAGTTACCAACGGCACGTGCGACGTGCCGCTACTCGAACGTGCCGGCGAGATAATACATGTTGCATTTGTTTTCGTTAAAACGCTGACAAAACGCTGCTTCCCAACATGGCGACCCTTTAATCTTCATTCGCGCCGTCTCGTTTGGGATAACCTCGTTTTCTCTGGCGACAATGGCCCTCTCCCTTTTATTGCCACGTGTTGCTCTATCGCGAATGTCAAAGTTCACGGTATTATTATCGCTATAACGTTATTTCTGTCGCAAATTCAAAGATGCACTTGTGCGCGATATAAAACATATATTATGTTGAAAAATATAAAGCTGTCGCTCCGAAACGCGACAAATGATAATTTGTCTTAGTGCATATATATTAATAATTAATTAACTAATTAATATTTTAATGGGCTATCGTGGGATTGTTGGGTATCTACACAAATACGACTAGAAAACAAATATTCATTATCGTATGAATGGTAAATTTTTCTCTATTATTTCGACGCGTAATAAATATTCATTCGTCTTTATTGTGCCCACGTATTCGATACTGTGCCCGCGATAATATTACCATCGTTAATTATAATTTGATTCAATTTCCTCGTTTATAACAATATCCTCGTTAATCCGCATCATATTTTCACTTTTAATCCCGTATCGAGTACTGTCAACGTTCACGCGTTGCTGATTCTATATTATCGATCGTCGTATAATAATCATGTATAATTGGTAAATTACTTGTTAAGCGACCAGAAAATTATGCCGATCCAATATGAAAATCGAGATCATAAATACTATAACTTGTTACATATACGCTTCGGGATTTTCCGGCTTTGGCTGCACGTAAGGGATTAAGTGGCGTTGAAAATTACCATTCACCCCCCCCTTCTCACGATCAGATTTGCAACTTAAACGAGTTAAATGACAAACTAAAATGTTAATATGTATCATCAAGAATAAACATCAATGATCAAATTTCATACATGATCATGCCACTTCGACACGTGATGACGTTCTTTTATCGATTGACAATTATTGTTGGTCCATCATTATGTATCCAATTTATTGCAAAAGTTAACAGCATCACATTATTCGATGATATTACATACTGCCTTCGTTGCAACTTATATCTTCATAGTAAACCATTTAAGTGACATGACATCGTATAATAATTTGAAAAAAATAATTAATCGAATTTTTTGTCTGTTCCTCAGACAAAAACGTTGAAAATATGTTTATATTATATTAGTATTACTGCGGCATGACAAAAAACATCTCTTGCCGCGGGGGGGATCGAAGTTTTCAAGGCACATCGGAACAGATTTCTAATCTAAAATGTTATTACGTTGTCAGTTCTTTTTATGCATATAAACGTCAATGTGTACATAAAATAATTCGTGCAAAAAAACTCGCTCCAGTTATTTTAGTTAATCAATGGTCAAAATTGTTAAAAACATATTCCATATATATCAAAAGTCTGATCATTCGTTTCATGAAACAGCGTTATCTCGTGACCGCGGTCATTAGGAGATAATTATGATTTCCATTTCAATCCCGGACATTTTTCTTTATCAACCAACAAGTTCAAGAATCAGAGAATAATCTATAAAAAGATTCGCGTGAGTTCCTAATAATGCGCGTGGCAAACGTGCGTAATAAGAAGTATTTACAGCGGACTTTTGTTGAAAACCTCGAATAGAAAAGAAAAACGACGCTTTCGTCATCCTTAGAAGACGCTGCAATCAATCTCTATTCCAAAGCGAGGTTTCGAACATTATCGCGTATATCGCGTGTGGAACTCACGCAAACGACGAAATAATCTCGGGTGAGCAATTCGTAGGAACTTATCTGCTTGACATTTACGAGCAAAGCGGAGGCTTTTTCGGAGAGAGCGGTCAGTAAGCCTTGATATCGACAGCGCTACGTAAAATCAATATTTTCTTTAGTACGTTTTTTTAGATATTTTCCAAATTATTAGTTTATTTCCAAATTGTTGTAATTATTATTATATTTGCATTTTGAAATAATTGAGATCTTAACTGTTTCTCTGATAAAACAAAATAAATTTGAAATATTTAGTATATTTCTTGATTCGTGCTGTAAAATTAATATCCGACTTTGGTTATTTATTTATCATCGAAAGATACATCATATCGTCGCAAAATTGTCTAAAGTGAACTTGGAAACTGGAAATTGCAATATAGCGCCGGCACGGTACCGGGACGCAATTCCAACATATCAATAGCGATAGGAAACGGTGTGCGAACCATTCTCCCATCCGTTACACGTTATTCCGTGCGAAAGTAGAAATAAAACGATGATTTTTTTTAACGTAGCGTGAATGCGCGCATAATTCGCGTTAATCGCGGTTGCCAAAACAAAATATCGTCTGCGCATGAAACGCTCGGAGCAAACGGCTTAGCGGGGACTAATTTCTCCTACTTATCGAATCGAAGCACCGCCCGGACAAATTTATCTCCCTGCGCGAGCCTCACATTCCAGTATGCAAGTGCATCGAGACTCGATTCCCACCTACATGCCTATCTCGATGATCGAAATGACAATGGCATGACATCCATCTCTCTAACAGCGAATCGCATCCGCCTGACGTGCAATTCGGAGCACCTCTTTCTCGCTCGGTGCAGCGGCTGTTCACAAACGCTGGGCGTGGTGGGGAGACATGAAGCGCGCCCCGAGGCCCGACGGGCACGCGACCGATCGCAGGGGCCAGGTATAAGGACTTGGGGGAGGGGAGCAGGAAAAAATGGAATGGAATAGAGAATCCGGCACGCGTAGCGATTATTAGGAATTCTCTTCGCATCCCCGAACACCCACCTGGCTGGTACATCTACGGTCCTCTATGCCTATCGGTCGTACGGTTGCCTCTACCATTGCACACGAGCACTGCACGACACTCTTAAATCACCATCATCTTCGCCACTGATCTCCCCGCTGGAAACCAATCTCTCCTCCCAAGCGAGTCAGCTCGATGGACCAATCAGCGAGCGACGCGGTACAGCGATCGGTCGGTCGATCGGTTGGATGGTCACAAGGAAACACCGCAGTACCGGTACCGCATTCGCGGATAGATCCAGGTAGAGCAAGAGCTTGCTCCGAGCTGGAGGACACTACACTATTGTTCGTTAGCACTGCTGGTCCGCTGTCGATACCGGTCGCATTCCTTCCGAAAGCTCTCGAATGATGACTTGGGACTCAGGGTGGAACGACCTAGCACGCGACTCGAACAGAGTTCGGGAAGTAGAGGTGGTAGAGTTTGTCGACCGAGTCCACCCGACTGCACCCACCTCGGGACGCGAGGGCGCAGACCGTGTTATACGCGACACGGACAAACCTACGGTGACATTGGAGACGCGCGCGATCGACGTTCGCGGTTCCGGAGCTGGCAGTGCACTGACTCCGGCCTCCTCGTTCGACCCGACAATCCGCGGCTCTGACTCCCACGCGGCGCATGCGTAGCTCAACATGGCTACGTTGCGCCGTCGTCGTCGTCGTCGTCGTCACCGTCGCCGATGTCGTCGTCGTCGTCGTCGTCATCGTCATCGTCGTCGTCGTCGTCGTCGTCGTCGTCGTCGTCGTCTTCCTCATGCCCGTCACCCCTCTAGCTCGCTCCGTCTCTTCCCATTGTGATTCCCTCCGTGCGCGATCGTGCGTGTGGCATTGCGCGCATGTGTATGTGTGTGTGTGTGTGTGTGCGTGCGCTGGTACACACGCGCTGTCGTGCTTCATCCCCCAAATCGGCACCCCCGAGAGAGGAGGGAGAGGGAGAGGGGAAGAGAGAGAGAGAAAGAGAGAGAGAGAGAGAAGGAGAGAGAAAGGAGAAAGGGCTTCTGCCCCGGCGGCAGCAGCCCTGTCCCGCGAAAGGGGTGAGACAGCGCGTCGACGGTTCTCGCGCTCTTTTCGTGTAAGAATAAGACCAGAAACGCGGCAGGTGGTTTACACGGTGGGCGATTGCCGGCGTGCGCCCTTCTTTGGCGTACGCGATTATCGGGTGTCGAATGAGTTCACGTGATCGAGCACTTAGTCATGGACTGTTCCCCGCAGCATACGAACGCATGACTTCTACAGGTCATGAATGAGATTAGGGTTAACTGCGGCAATTATGCAACGCATTGATGTAAATTTCTCTTCGGTACTGTCTTGACTGTTCTAAATACAGCTTCGTACAAACTAAATTAATTAGAGTACAGCAGTTGTATCTAATCAGATTGTTTTTATTAGTAGCTTATCTTTAATTAAATAAATGCTTTCGAATAATAAAGATAAATTTGTTTTATAACATTAATAAAATAAGAGATCTATTTCTATTGCTTTGCATTACTTATTAGTATATTCGTGCGATTTATTAGTATATTTGTCTGACTCAAATTTTAATAAAATTATTTATATGCTATGTAGATACCTATAAAATTAATATTGTGTCTTAACTGGCTATACACTGACAATGTCACGAAAGATCAAAACAATATTGTTAAAGATATTTTGTAATGTAATAGATATGCTTAGTTTCACGATATTCTTAGAAGCATCTGCCCTACTAAAGTGTACATGTATAAATTATATTAAAGTGGACCTTATATAGCTCGACCATGAACGCGCGCATAAAAGACGAAAAGTAATAGTTTGCGAATGACAACTGAAAATTTTCGCAACGATCGATGCGAATATAGCACGTATCAACATGAATAAGTTATATACTTTTATATACGTCGTATGATGCGTCGTTCTCGTTTCTTTTTTTGTCTTAACGATTGCTACTACCATCGTTGTGCGGTTACTATGAGGCACGGCTGAATCGACCTCTTCTAAGCTAGCAGGACCAAATCGGCAGAATCAAACCGGACCTATCAGAATATTTAGTACCCATTTTGTACTAATTTGTACCACTAATAACAATTTTGTATCCCGTGCCATTTCGGAGAAAATCGTGGCGGTGCTACCTTAGCATTAAGCTAGATAGACCACAAGAAAAAAAAAGAAAAAAAGAAAATTAAATACAGAAATTTGAAGAACTGAATTTGTATTAATTTGTACCATACAAATAAACTTAATACATATATTTATCCCTTCTGCTCAAAAAATACCTCACCGGCCGATGCGCAACAGCGGAGTTGTAATTCTGCGTTGATCTGTAACAAAAGAAATATTTTTATATTAAAGCTACGTCCAAGATAATCGACAGTAAATAATTATCGAAGTAAATAATTATTGCCCGTTTTTAAAACATTATTTTAACAAATATCTGATTTTAAAATGTAAAAAACAATCGCGGCCGCCGGCGCCGCAATAAGCGGCTGGATATTTCCGTGCTAACTAGTTCGCATAATTCATCCGCGAAAAATTGTACAAATAATACTGCGACCGTGCGAATAAGAGAGAGACGCAACGTTCGCGACGTAATATCTCGCATACGCCGGAGATCAGACTCGACCCGAAATTGCACCGTAGTTAAAAACGACGAAAGTGGCGGAGTCCACCACAGAACTGACAGGACGGCAAAATATAATATATTATAATATAAGAAAATTAACAACTACTCACCCCACGGTCGCTCCGTCGTCGCCCGATGCCTCCCAGGCCCCGTTCTCCTCTCCTAGATCGTCCTCCGTTACTCCGTTGGTCCATTGTCGCACTCACTCACAACGCGACGACGTTCACGAGCGAAAATCGACGATATCGTCTCCTCTTATGATCGCGCGACACTAAAGGCACACGGCACTCCCGGTATTAATCTCGCGACGCGGTAACTAATTACGTCGCGGTCGAAGAAACTACGAACGAAACTATACGATCCGCTTGACGCCCATGACGCCATGACGCCGCACCGTGACATCTCGCGATTTCCGCGCGCAGGTAGACACAAGTGAAGCGAAGGTGGCGGAGAGAATTTCGTAAATCGCGCACGGCCAACTTCACTCGCCCGGAGCAACTGTCTCGAAGCACATGAATTAAATGAACTTTCGATATATGTATCACAGTTTTTCGCAAGCTAAACAATCGGATCCGGCGACAGGCGACACCCGGCGACTCGTGTATTTACTCCGCGATATATGCGATATGGGAACGGGAACTGGAGCGAGTGGCGCGGGGCGCGGGGCGCGGGAGTAACGAAGTAACGACACGTCTGACGTCAGAACAGGTCACGGGCGTCGCGGTAAACATGAGTAGTGGGGATAGAGTGGGGGTAAGGTGAATACACACTACACACGGTGCGCGGTCGGTTAGTTCGGTATGCCGGGATTGCCGGGTATGGCGTATCGCATAAAGCCTACTCCTCTCGGCCCTCTCTATCCCCACTGCTCATGTTACCAAGGCGCCCGCGGCCCGTTCTGGGGATCGATTCTGTATCTAGGGGGGAACAAGGTGAAAATTACAAAAGTGAACAGATTTACTAGATTTCGACAAATGAAATTGTAGATTCTCTAGTGAATTTCCTCACTTTTGTAATTTTCACCTCGTCCCAAGATACAGAATCGACTCCCTGATTTCTGATGTCATTGCTCGAGAATCGCACATCGCAGAGTAATATAAGTACGAATCGCCAGGTCCGATTATTCAGATTACAGAAAAATGTGATACATCGAATGTTCATTTAAGGCCGGTTCTAATACAATCAGTCGTATGTCGCCTATGTCGGATGGCCCAATGAGAGAATTTCTTTTTCGATAACGAATTTTTCTCATTGGACCATCGGTTACGTTCCGACATCCGAGGTATAAATCGCATTCGATTATACATTCATTCGGATACGCGGTCTCACTTTTCTCAACCGTCAACTTGACTCGCGTCTTGCGTCGTGTCGCGCAGCTTCAGAATAGAATTTCCGTCGTTTTCGGAACGGATAAAGAACCCGAAATCAAGGCAATCACACACAAAATGCATAGCTTAGCATAAGACCAATGAGCATCCAGCATAAAGTCGCCATATTGATTTACATAAGATGTTCATTGGTCCGTCCAGCGCGACGCGCTCTAATATCATATATGTCGAATGTTTATTTAATACATGTGCTTCGCGGAATTAGATACGGATGCCGAGGTATATATCGCATTCGATAATAGTGACTTTCTATTACGTTCTTTTGGACGGTTGATTTCGCTTTTCCCAACCGCGTCCGCGCGTCAAAGCGCGGTCGTGCGCGCCGCGATAAACACGAGTAGTGGGGGTAGAGGAGAGGAGTGGTATCGAGGCGTGCTGACGTCACGCATACCGAGCGCGCACCGTGCCTAGTTACCTGTAGCCCCCACTTTGTCCCTACCAAATAGTGTGACGAGAAGCCGTTAGCCGCGGCGCGGCGCCCGCGACCCGCGCTACATTTATCGTCATCATTGCGCAGCTTCTTCGTCGCAATCAGTCGCGTCGCGTAATTTTTTCGTCGCCATGTAACTACGTGTAAGTACGCGCCGCGTCGCGAGATTAATGCCGGGA